CATGGACGAGGGTGACGTGTCTGGTACATTAAAAAACGACAGATAGCCTTATGCTCGATTATTGCTTTGTGGGGCTGGACGTCCTTTTGGGAACAGGGATACAGATAAACATTGTCAATGTACCTGAAAAATGCCACCGTTGGGGCCCATTTAAACAAATGTGTAACTTGATTCGGCAAGACAATGGTTTAAAACTCTTCAATAATCCGCTATAATACTTTTGCATCATGTTTCGAACAACAGACAATGCATAAGTATAGCGGAGACAATGAACTTAGAAAAGACATTATGAAACATGAAAAAAGCAGATATCCTGTGGTGTTTCAAGAAACTAAGGTCGTATGGGGGACAAAACCGAAAGCGCTAGAGCTTAGAGCCAGTTCGCAATATATAACTTCCTGGACAGAACAGCGACTACAATTTCCACATGCCATATTGGCTGTGGTACTAAATAAAATGTGGCTTTATTCGTCGACGGTACACAATTATTCCCTCGGTTTCCCGTCACGCAGAAATATTGTCCCGCAGCACAGCAAAATATTTCCGACATCCTTTTGTGACCAGGCTGCGGAGAAACATCAAGCCCCTTTATATTGCTAACCTATATTCTTTATAGCGGTCAGATTATTTCCCCTAGTATATGAGTAGTCTCACATGAGTGGCAAGGCTGCATCATATTTGAAAACGTGTATATTCCAACGTTTTCATACAATTAGCGTATTCTGTCTTAGAGGAAGAAAGGATCAGAGCGGCTATGCCTCATTACACTACTTCTAGGTCCACCCCAGATGTTTCTCAATGCTCTTTATAGAGTACGGACTCAAAACTTGTTACGAAAGGAAAAGCTAGAATCCTTTGAAATGTGGCCTTACCGTAGGATTCTAAGAAATCTCATCAGTCGATAAAGTTAGAAACTCAGTAACACTCGAGAGATTCACTGAGGAAAACAGAAATAGTACTTACCGTTAAAACAAGAAAAATACAATATGCAGGGCACATTACCCCGTGGAAAAGGTACATGTTGGTACAATTCATCAAATAAGGTAAAATTCAAGGCACCCGAGTATAATCACAATTCCTGTGCAAGAAATAATCTTTACTCTGCCACCCACGAGCAGATTCGCAAATCGCAGTACTACCGACCCCTACGTATGGTTGCACGAAGCCACAGTTTCCTGGCATCTCTGAGTAACAGCATCCGCAGAAACCAGAGACGGTGGTCCACCACATAGGCGCCTCATCGTCTAAGTCATTGATTCCCAAACTGGTCTATATCGACCCCTATGAGTCTATGACAACCTGCAAGGGGTCTACGTCAGCGAAAAAAAATTTGGGCGTCCATAAAATGAATATGAGGGTCCACGATAGTGAATCTCAACACATAGACTGATAGTACCTATTTACTTACATCATACTATCTTATAATATCAAAACATATACATTATTTATAAAAGTACCTATGAAGTAAAAAATGTATTATATATGTTTATAAAATTGTTTAAGATGTTGGTATTCGCTTTGTGGTCGCAATACATTTTGAACTTGTAAAAACCTGAGAATCGCGATCTCAGAGCTCCGCTACCTTGCACTGACTTGTTCAATTTGTCATTCTATAAATACGAATGTGGGACAAATACGTTTATTCGTTTCCTGAATCTTGAAAAGGAAATTGCTAAGAAAATATTTAAAAAAAAATATAAACAGATAGTATATCACACAAATTATAGTGAGTCAGTGTTATTTTGTTTGAGAGTGCTGGAGAAAAGTAAGTACATTATTTTTTATTAAATTTTAGTTTTGTACTCGTAGTTAGCAAAGATAGATAAATTACGCCAATCATGACTTTAGTTATGCCATGTCCGAATCTAAAAAGAAATGTAGACAGTACAGTGTTGATTATTTGAAATTTGGCTTCATTCCATCATTGCCGGACAAACAATCGTCTATGTGCCTTTTATGCACCAAAGTTTTGGGCAATGACGCTATGAAACCATCTAAACTGCAAGATCATCTGAGAAGATGCCACCCTGATAAAACAGAGAAAGATTTGAAATACTTTCGAACACTCAAAGATAAATTTCAGAAGAGACCTACTCTGCACAGAATGTTCGCTTCGACGTCACAAAGAAATGATGATGGTTTGCGAGCGTCTTACAATATCTCGTTACTTATAACAAAATTCGGAAAACCGCATACTATCGGAGAGAAGTAAATTTTGCCAGCCGTTGAAGAGGTTTTAACAACTGTTTTACACAAACCTGCATCTGATATCATTAAAAGAATTCCCTTAAGCAACAATACTGTTGAAAGACGTATTGATTAAATGAGTTCTGATATTGAAAGCTTCTTATGTAATTATTTGCAAACGACCCATTTCTCTATACAACTGGACGAGTCTTTACCTGATAATGCAGCATTATTATTGGCATATGTTCGTTTTATTATGAATCAAAAAATCTACGAAGAACTGCTCTTCGCAAGAACTTTGATAACCGACACTAAAGGTGAATCAATATTTCATGTTTTGAAGGATTACTTCATGGAAAAAGCAATTCCTTTATCAAATATAATATCAGTAGCTACAGATGGAGCACCTGCCATGGTTGGACGTTATCGTGGGTTTATAAGCTATTTAAAACAAAATGTGTCAGGGGTGTTAGCAATACAATGCGTCATTCATCGACAACATTTAGTTGCTAAAAATGTGAGTGTTAGATTGCATGAATCACTTCATTTAGTCATTGATGCATTAAACCGAATCCGAAGCAACGCGTTGTGTGAAGAAAATGACGAACACTTTCATCAATTACTCCTTCACACTGAAGTACGCTGGCTGTCGAAAGGCTTATGTTTGACGATTGAAGATTTTTTGCACTTTTTGAGACTATTTTAGAATTTCTGGATACTAAAAATAAAATTTTAAAAGAAAATTTAATGAAGAGGAAAACAGACATCGCCTATTTAACAGATTTGTTTACAAAATTTAATATGGTTAATTTACAATTTCAAGGCGTCAGTTTAAATTTGATTAAAACAAAGTCCATCTTATCAGCGTTTCTTGCCAGAGTTAAACTATTAAAGCAAAATATTGGACGGGGCAAATTTTCTCAGTTCCCCAATTTGTCACAGACAAGCTGCCAGGAAGACGACGTTTCAACTTACGTTCAACATTTAAATGCCCTCTATTCAGATTTTGAATCTAGGTTTGAGGATATTTTGACTATGGTAATACCACCGTGAATAATTGATCCATATGGTGACATAGAAGAAACGAATGTCATAATACAAGAGGAACTGACTGAACTAAGTACAAACGAAGAACTTAAGGTTCAGTTTAAACACGGATATCAGCAATTCTGGCTGCAAAACAACATACCCGTTACTTATCCCGTATTATGGAATATAGGGAGGAAATTTTTAACTTCCTTTCCATCGTCATACCTAGTGGAAAGGGGGTTCAGCGCTGTTACCAATCTCCTAACGAAAAAAAGAAACAGACTGGACATCATTAGCCGAGGAGATTTAAGATTAACCCTTACAAAACTGACGCCAAATGTTGATAATTTATTATTAAAGCATCGGGTTCATCCTTCTCACTAAAATTATTGTCTTATTGTTTATGTTTTTTTATTTATAGCTTATTTTATGTTTATTGGTGTCTGACCAATAAATGCCCGCATTGGGAATAAGTGCCCGCATTGATTTTTTTAAGAACCCCCTTTATAGAATTTTTTTTAAATTATTCTGAAAATTCAAGGATAGGTACACACTAAAATTTGTTAATTTTTTGTCTATTTTTAGATAACTTAAACGTACAAGAAGCGGAATTTAATCAAACTAACAGTGAAATTATTGTAGAACATACGTTTATGTTATAATTAGTAAATGAACTCTCTTATTGTACTATTTCAAGTGAAAAACTTTTTTTTTATTATTTTTCACATTTATTTTATTTTATCCCTCTTATTTTTTTTCAATGCGGACACTTATTCCCAATGCGGGCACTTATGGGTCAGACACCTGTTTATTTAATGTTACGTATATTTTACATAACAGATACAAAATTTTATTTTTAAATGTATAAATTAACATGTGTTTTTACTTTAAGTTTTTAACACTAAACTTCACTACAGTTAGAAATTTACAGGAAATCAATATCAGGTAAGTAGGGGGTCTACAGAACACGGAAAAACATGGCAAGGGGTCTACGACAGAAAAAGTTTGGGGAACTCTGGTCTAAGTACTCGCCATGCTTCTAACATTGATATGAATCGTAACATGCAAGAGTTGCATAAACACACTCTGTTGGCTTTCCATCTCTGCAACCATAACCAACCATATACAACATTCTTGTATGGTTTGATACAATCACCACTATCATACAGGTCTTGTCACTTAGATGCCAGTTTCGGAAATTAAATAAACGAATATAGTTTTAATTAAAAAGTGAAAAAGTGAAGTATGCACACTGCTACCCTCAACAGATTTATCGAAAACCACTGACTAAAAAAACGCCGAGACACGTCAAAAGATTTGTCAAGGGGGACAACATTTAACCAAAAACTATTTCCCCCCTTCCACCCTCGGCCCCCCAGGGTCATTCCCTTAAACGTTTTAAATGGCGAGGGATATCAAGGTATTTGAAGCTCCTTCGAAGTCTATTATTTTGACGTTTAATATTTTAAAATTAGAAAAATCTTTATTTATCTTAATTTGTTCAGATAGAAAACAAAAACACACGAAAATATCACTTTTTATCACGCTTTTATTAGCTTGGCCTGTATTTATCTATGTAACGGAATATTTAAGCATAATTTCCACCAATTTCCAGAAGTTTGATTAATATGAAACTTTGCACACGTATCAAGGACCGATGACAATGCTATAATTTACAACAGTTTTTCATTATCCTTGTTCATAAAATTCTGTAAAAAGCAAATTATTATGTTAATGAAATACCACGGATTTCAAATGTCGCCTTACAAATAACGAAACTACGAGCCTCTGTAGCTCAGTGGCAAAGCACTGGTCTTGTCAACCCGGAGTCGTGAGTTCAATAACAGGAGGCTGATCGTGCTATTCCTTTTTTTTAACACGCTTGCATTAGCTTGGCCTGTACGTATGTATATATGTATAAAACGGAATCTTTGCCCGTAATTGGCCAAACAGTGATACAGGCGATGTTCAAATTCCTGACAGACATTTTCAAAAACATGTTGTGGGATATCATGGTAGCTTTCGATGATGCGTTGACGAAGTTCATCCAAACTTTCAGGTAGGGGAGTAAACACAATAGCTTTCAAATGGCCCCATAGAAAAAAGTCTAATAGGAACAAGTTAGGAGATCTAGCAGTCCATTCTGTAGGCCTTCTTCGCCCTATCTATTTATCTGGAAACTCGTCGTCTAGCCATTGCCGAACCGAAAGAACATAGTGAGGAGGAGCGTCGTCTTGTTGGAAATATATTTCAGCCTCATCAAGTATAAGCTTTCCATCCTCTTCGATTTTGTTTTCAATGGTTTCAATGATAAGCGGATTGATGGTATTTTCCTACATATCCAAATAAAGTTTGCCGAGCATATTGATTTTGGGCACCATATCATTTCCACTCTTTCGGCTAGTGTTTAAACCATTTTTGAAGTAAAATCTGAATCAATAAGTTAATTTTCACTATCCCAAGATTGTCACTGAGGTAACTGACAGCAAATGAAATCCTCCTAAACAATAAATACAGGATATCTGTGGTGATAAACAGAATGCGGAAAAAATTCGGGTTGTTACCTGGTTCTTCCCACCTGTTATCTTCCGAATTGCTGTTTATGTTGGCAGTTTTCGTTTTAGATTATAAACGAGTTGAAGATTTGACAAACCCCAACGGGCAGCATTTTGAACACTTATTGAAATAAAAAGTGATATTTTCTTATGTTTTTATTTTCTATCTGAAGAAATTAAGATTAATAAAGAGAAGAACTCCGAAGGGTCTTTTAAACAAACTATCGCTCGATACCCCTTGTCGCTTAAAATTTGTAAGAGAATGACTCTGGGGGGGCGAGGGTGAAAGGGGTAAAGTAGTTTTTGATTAAAAAGCTGTCGCCCTTGACAGGTCTTTTGACATGTCTCGGCCTGTTTTCTTTTAATCAGTGGTTTCCGTTAAATCCGTGGTGGAAAGTTTTCAAACGAACATGGAAGTTTAAACGCCCGATCACGTGTTAGGCAAACTTGCCAATTCTTAGTCGAACTATTACGTCTCGACCGACTGGAGGTTTCGTAACGGAGAAGTTCAGAAAATTAGACTTCTAGGTTCAACACATTCATTTCAGCTAGAAGCCTAGAAACACAATATCGTGTTTATCTTTCTTTCTTGCTTTGCGATTAAATATCAATATGTGTGACAAAATTTTGAAACCATGGACCCCACCCAAAATCTAGTTCCTTATACGCCACTGCTCTCATCAGTGCATGTCCTACTATTTTTCTTACATTTCTGCGAGCAATTTTCTTTGCAGCTGCTTCAAGCTGCATCAGGCTGTGTAGAAGGCTGAGTCAAAGAAACGTGAAAAATTTTATTATCAGCTATGGTTCCTAAAATTTTCCTCACCTATGTGTGGAAATAAGAGCTCTCTCTTCTGAGCTGTATTGTTTTCAACCCGAATATTTGTGAATACAAATCTTCCCAGCACCGTTACATTTGCAAACTCTCAAAAAGGGGCTTATTTACTGCTTGCAGAAATTTCGGATCCGCTTATCGTTGGGGACAACGGGCGATATGAAAAACATAACGAGACGTTTAGAGGGCTCACTTTGCACAGTTTCAACTCGATAGACGCTACAATCTAAATCCCTTGTCGCTTTTTTACTGCTGTACGCTGGCGTAAAGATCCCCAATCTGGATGTTTTCCGTCTGTGTATGTATACATTACCAACCAGAATTTTTCACACAATACTAGAAAAAACAATCACTGTTATAGAAACCTATAACCATAACAGCAGCAATATGAAATGAATGTCCTAAATTCGAAGATTTCATCAATCAGAAAATTCAAGATGGAGAAAATGAAATTGAAAACATAGTATTTTATCTGATAACGCGTTTAACCAATAAAGAGGAAGGTTATTCGAAACAGTATGTACCTCAATTCACGGATCAGTGATGTCATTCTTGTTTAAGACAAGACATACGGAGTTATGCCCAACTATCACAGTAGCTGCAAGATTCAATAGTGGTGTCAGATATATTAAGAACTACATATTATATCTAATCATCACTCCATACAGGTAAAGGTAAGCATTGGGCTATAAAATTGCATGAAAGCTTCTAAGGACTAAAATCTGATAGGTTCCGTGATAGATGCCTGCATGATTGCACATGGCATTGCCGTCATCATAATTGTAAGTTAGTTTCTGCAGATTTTTTTTATTGTACGTGCTACTACTTGGTGAATCCTCTTCATCGAGCTTATTATATTCATTAGTGTAACACCTGAAACTTATTCGTCATCTTCATGTTGACAGGCCTCTACGATCTTCTGGACAAATCGACCATTATAAGTATGTATTAAGTACACTACCAGCACGGTGGTGTTTTTCAAAGTACAAATATTGTGAAATTGTCATAGCTATTTTGTACTGCTCGATCAAGAAATCCAAATTGCCAGCTTGAAGCTACATGAGTTGCTTTGTTCTAACTTTATCGTGTACCTTAGAATAATATCGAAAACAGAAATGATGTGTATTATATTTTTGATTATAAAAATCATATTATTTCTTCTGTCGTAAGTAATAACTAAATATTGAATATTTCATGTGTCGTCAGTTTGGTCCGTATTTTGATCAGTACTGTACATAGACAGATTTAGTCCCTTGCTTTGGAGTTCCCTATAAAAAGACCCGTTGGTATGCTTACCCTTCTTTATCATGAGAAGGCTTGAATAAATCTGTGCGTATCTTCAGTTAACGATGTAATTATCTACCAATAATACAAAATATAAATGTATACAATTCTCAAGTGGAAGTTATGAACAACATGATTTAGTTGTCTTAACGATTAAAGCAAGATGAGGTGATACTGAAAATCATATTGTATCTGAAATTTATTTTCATTTATCAAAAAGTGTAGTATTGTTAACTTGGATGTTTAACTACAAAAGCCACCACTGGCATAAAACGTTTCTAACGAGTGTAACATACGTCAGTCAGTAAAGCGTTCAATGTTGACCTTGATCATCACGTGGAAGGTTATTTCAGGGTTAGCTTTAGTATTGACACCGGGAATCCACATAACGGAATTTTCCACGACCGGGAATTTTAGGAAACAAGGTGATTGGGCCATTCTTTATTAATATAAATTAGAATGGAGACATCTATTTGGATATGTTGAAAAATACCATCAATCTGCTTATCACTGAAACTATTGAAAACCAAATCGAATACGATGGAAACCCTATACTTTATGAGGCTGAAATATATTCCCAACAAGTCGGGGTTCCTCCTCACTATGTTCTTCCGGTTCGGCAATGGCGAGAGTTGCCATGATATCCCACAACATGTTTTTGAAAATGTCCGTCAGGAATTTGAACATCGCCTATATCATTGTTTGGTCAATAACACTTGAACACTTTTAAATATATTATTATTATATATAATTGATATTTTTGTGCGTTTTTGTTATCTATCTGAAAAAATTAAGATAAATACAGATTTCTGTAATTTTCTCAAAAACGAATCAACTGATTTTAAAAAACAAATGTCAAAGTAAAAAACTTCAAAAACCTTTCAAACAAGCAATTACTTGATACCCCTTGTCATTTAAAATATTTAAGGGGATGACCCTGGGGGGCCGAGGGTGAAAAGAGGTGAAGTAGTTTTTGGTTAAAAAGTTATCCCCCTTCACAAATCTTTTGACGTGTCTCGGCGTTTGACCTTTTAATTAGTGGTTTTCGATAAATCCGGTAGCAAGTTTTCAAATGAACACCCTGTATAATCATGAAGCTGAGGCTCAAGGTCATATCCGCGGTCAATATCGAACTCTTTGTTTAAAGTTACTAAACGCGTAACCTTGATTTTTTCATCAATGTTCCAGCAAAACCTCACACATTTTACCTTCATTAAACCTTTAGAGGCACCATTCATCTTGAATTTTGATACATATTGGGGCATAGGATTTCCGGCTATTTCGATTGACGTTGTTAAAAGCAAGATTTTACATTTAAATAACAAAAAACGGCCTTGGAATAACCTTGAAGGTGAAGGTCCAGTGCAGATCCAAGCTCATCTGTGAACTTATTCAAAGTTACATATTATCCTGACCTGGAGATTGATGAGGTTCGGCAACAGCGCGACTATGTATGAAGGCGTGTCAGAGTGCAGAGTGCGAAGGAAGGCAGGTAGTAAGACCTTGAGCATGAGATGCGTGGGGAGCTTCGGCAGAAGCAGAGCTATATAATATCGTCGCTCAGCCCGACTCATCAGTTCCGAGCTAGCAGCCGTTGCGAGTGTATACTTGCACGACTGCGACCCACCCGGACATATTGAGCAATCTTATTGCAATTTTCATTGCGATAGATTGGTTGTTTGCCATCTACGATGGCAAAAATTGAGAAGCTGGTTAACCAGCTGAAAGAAAAGAAGGATGCTTTCGCCATGCTGGAAGAGCAGATGCGAAACCTGCAAGAAGCCTTCTTGCAGTCCAGACAGGAGATCGAGGACCTGAGCGGGAAGCTCCGCAGGGCCAAGAAGAAGGCCGCGAAGAAGACAGGAGAAGAGGAAGAAGAGGACCACCAGGCTACGTCGGACGAGATGGACGCCCAAGAAGAGAGCACTCAACGAAACGAAGGAATAGAAGAAGAAGCCGAGAAGAGGACGGACGACACCGATTTCAGTGTCGCCACCAGACGGAGGAAGCGGGTGCGAGTTTCCTCCTCCGAAGATGAGTCACCAAGGCAGCCAAAGATGCCAGCTGGTGCCACCAAGAAGAGTCCTAGAGCAGCCAGGACCATCGTGCCCCCCATGGCAGGAACAGGAGTTCCGCCAATCAATATCGAGGGCACCGCTGATTGGTCATCCTTGAGTAG